ATCACGTTTCTGTAATTATAACCGTAATTTGTACATATTTTCTAGAGTCTAACACAATAAATGCAGTTTCGAGTGTTTAAATTGAGTTTACAATGCTCAAAAATTGGCGGACTTTTTGTATGTTTAACTTTCATACATACAAAAATCACTTAAACAGCACTTGTATCATAAAAATAAGAACGAAAATTATATTTTATTTTTGAATTAAGATGGTAAAATTTCGAGCAAAATATAAAAAAATTTGAATACTCAAACAGCACTTTTATAGCCTTTTCTGCTCAAATATTTACGACTATTATGTATATTTTCTATGAATTATAAGTACTTTTTAAATAATAATAAACGAGGCTTTTAGCCCACGACTTTCATATAATACTTTACTTTTTAATGTTTAAGTTGTGAGTTTGGTTTTCAAAATTTGTATTAATTCTTATAAAATGAATAAAGTATGCAAAATTATAAGGTTAGAGCATATAAATTATAAAATAAACACTCAAAAAGCGCTTATACCCATTAAATTTATGATGTATCCTTCTACGGCTATTGACTATAGTTGAGTCTAACATTTAAAAATACCAAAAATTCATTTCAAAAGTTAATTTTTATTCATAATTTAAATATAATTAATTAATAATTTACAAGAAATTTGAATATAACATGAATTCTTTTTAAATATAATATTTATATAATTTATTAATGTTTTACAAGATTATTCACACTTAATAAAATACGGATCATACTTTAAAGATGGACAACACACGCTTAATTTTTCTCTGTATATATATACGGTATATTTATATATTAGTATAATGTTACATACTGTAAACATATTTCGGTATATACATCTGCATAAACCAGAAAATATTTATTTACAAACTGTACAAATCCTCAACGAAGCAGAGGAGGAAACTATAGAGAAATACAAAGCTTGATTTTTACGAAATTTTCCTGATATATAGAGAGAATTTCACTTTAGATGCACAAAATTTTAATAATTTCTTTGCCACGACAGTGCATATCACATAGGAAAATTGGCTGCAAAATACATGTTTTTATATATATATATATATTTATAAAAGGGAAAGCTGCCTTAAATGACCCTTAAAAGAATCATTTGTATAGGGCGTAGGAGGGCCTCGATTGAAATGAAGCAATCACCTACTTAAAAAATAGTTTTTTCTTCGATTAAATTTGGCAAGACCAACTTCCAAGTTTTAGGAAAATTGGTACAGAGTAGCAGCCTTTATAGAAGTTTAAGNGACTCCCTTATTTTTTCCTGTCATTGCTGCCACAACACTTCAGAAAATAATATTCAATTTAAACTAGACGAATTACATCGAAAAATATTTATTTATAATTTCTTCTAAACGTCTCGCGGGCCGGATAGAAACTTTTCGCGGGCCGTAACTGGAACGCGGGCCAGGGGTTGCCCACCGTTGCTATAGATTTTACACAAGAGTGAGCTGGGTTGTGAGAATATAAAACATAATCCTGAAATGTGTGCTATATCTCCATAACCTAAAATTAAGAGGCCGGATGGCCGAGCCATCAAGGTGGCAGCCTACCGTTCTGGGGGACCCGGGATCGAATCCGGACGGGTCGAGGAATCCCCAGGAATTTTTCGGGGGTGGTCCGTTCGGATATGTCGGGCCCCGTCTTTCTCCACCCGATCGCCCCATTGTGGGCCTGGCCGAACACATAATGGGCCTGCTATAAGAGGCCGTCTTAGTGCCCACAGTGTGAAAAGAGTTAAAAAAAANGATGTAAATTTTCTTTTGCGTAATGTCAGCAAGTTTAAATAAATATTGTTATGAATATCGCCTTATGAAAGATATTAAATAAATATTGCCTTGTGAAAGAAATATTGTTTTTTTTCACTGTTATTGTTCCTCATCCATACTAATACTATGCTATAGATTTTACACAAGAGTGAGCTGGGTTGTGAGAATATAAAACATAATCCTGAAATATGTGCTATATCTCCATAACCTAAAATTAAGAGGCCGGATGGCCGAGCCATCAAGGTGGCAGCCTCCCGTTCTGGGGGACCCGGGATCGAATCCGGACGGGTCGAGGAATCCCCAGGAATTTTTCGGGGGTGGTCCGTTCGGATATGTCGGGCCCCGTCCCTCACCACCCGATCGCCCCATTGTGGGCCTGGCCGAACANAGGAATCCCCAGGAATTTTTCGGGGGTGGTCCGTTCGGATATGTCGGGCCCCGTCCCTCACCACCCGATCGCCCCATTGTGGGCCTGGCCGAACACATAATGGGCCTGCTATAAGAGGCCGTCTTAGTGCCCACAGTGTGAAAAGAGTTAAAAAAAAAAAAACCTAAAATTAAGAGATTCCATCGACGGTGGGGAGGGAAAAAAACATCAACAGCTTGCGATTGGTCTGAATTAACAAGGGTCGAGTTAATTCTCCATTTACCGTCGTTATCGTTTCTCATCCATAGTATTATGTTATCGTTTCTCATCCATAGTATTATTATACTAATCTTTCCGAGGTCTGAGTTATTAATAATGTGAAAAATGTACGTTATCAGTTTAGTCTCTACAGGGGAGCGCCACATGAGATCTCGCACCACCTGAAAACCTGGCTAGGGCCGCCATTGCCCTGAGATGTAGCATTGTTCTCCAGTGCTGCATAGTGTTTTGGAAGAATGCAACGAGTGATGGATGTATTTTGTACATGTGTAGAATATGCAGCAGTCAACTGTGTGGAATGCTGTCAAATGCTTTTCTGTAGTCTATATATGCCATGTGTGCGTTT